ATAATAAAAATTGGGTAAATCATATTGATGGTAGAAAATATGCTTCTGGGGGATGGTTCTTCTTGGAGAATAATATCATCTCTTGGTTCAACAAGAAGCTAAACTATGATGAGGTTGAGTTTATTGCAATAGAAAGCAGCTACTCTAAAATGATCTCGATGAAACAAATGCTACAGGATCACAATGTCAAGAAAAATGTCATGACATTTTGTTGTGATAATCTTAAAGCAGGCGATGGATCCAAGTATCCCTTTCAACATAGCAGGACAAAATATGTTTACGCTCTTCATCATGCTATTATGGATAAACTCCCAAACATTCTGAATGCATATCAGTTTGAAAGATCAAGGGGTAAATTGGGTATTCTCGTTGTCAAGAAATTATAGCAATTACAGAGGTGGAGGCGTGCAAACAATGACCTTTCTTCTATTAATTTAGTGGTGCACGAAACTCCAAGAAATTTCATGTTTGAAACTGGTATAGCTGATAAAATCCTATACCAATCTAGTATGAATAGTATTATGAATGAGTTTGTGGATGTTACTGATAACACCAGTGATGAGAGTGTCAAATTGTTTGGTTTGAAGAATTTGGTTCATGAACCTAAGACTGATGTTAAACAAGATGTTCTAAGCATCTTGCCCTCTGCTAAAAGGGAAGTTGGATTATTAAATAATATGGTAAAGGAATTCATTCCTAAATATTATGACAGTAAGAAAAGCAAGGAGAACAGGAAGGTGTGTGATAGGAGAAAGTGATTAGGAGTGTTCTTCTGAAGTGACTAACAGGGTTGGGTAAATTTATTTACATTGTTGGAACCAAAAACTTATTTTAACTTGGGTTTCTTGTGTTGTAAAGATGCTTAGTACTTTCCCCTCTTTGATTTATGGTGTATTTTTAAGGTAGCATCATGTTTTTTGGTCATTTCTGTTGTTGCAAGTAAAAGGGTGTCTCCTCTTTCTTTGCACTATAGGTTGAGAGACATGCAATCAATGCAAATTCAGGAAAAACATTTTCCATTCAAACCTAGTGTGGTTATCTCTGTCCAAGACAATATCATTTAAGATGCTGTAAGAGTTCCCAACAGTTAAAGCTTGGGAAAAGAGAAAGAAGAACAAGAGAATGTCTCTCTCCTATACTGAGGGATGCACTGTTTATAAGAATGAGTACATTTCTTTCAAAACACTCTCCTTGAATGGTCATTCGTTACAAGCAAAGTTCTTTTACACTCAAAACCTTTTTGCCTCTCCTTCATCTTAAGTTGTGATTCAACATGAGTCAATCTCCCAGAAATGTTTATGCTAAAAAGATCCAGTTGCTAAAAGCCAGGTCAAGAAAGAAGGCCAATAGTACGGATCCAAAAAAAGGTTGAATTCAAGGTGGAAACATGTGTTGGATCATCTACTGGAGCATCATTTAAGGGGAAAAAGTTGTAACAAATATGAAGTTCCTCAATAAAATTCATGCTTAAATCATGACTTTGACTCAGATGTTGATGAATATTGGGTAACTTTTGTTGAATTGGGAGGACGTTTTGAATAACTGGTTTAAAAGATGAAAATTTCCTTTGTTATTATTTCTTGGTTGGATATGTAATAACTTCCTAATATTCTTTATCTATTGTGAAATTATTTGGATCTATGTTAATTGCATATGGTTGTTCTGATTCTCGAATATGATTGACCTCATGCTATATTTTTTGTCTAGCATCTGACCATATTAGTGTGTGCTTCCATTAATGTTTGTGTGTTTCCATCTGTTGTTTTCTATATGTGCTTCCATTTATGTGTGCTTACTCTATTTTTGTCAATTTTTGGCTAAAAATGAGGGAGAAGCTGGTTGTGCTCATGTGATGTTTTGACAGATGTTCTAACATCTGCCTGTCTGAGAGAATTTATTTTTCTCTGTAATAGTTTGTTTGTGTAGCTTCTATTTAAACTATATATATTTTCTTATGCTTGTTATTGTTCCCTTGAGGGGGAGTTTTGGTTCCATAGTTCAAGGGGAGTATTGTGACAGGGGGAGCATAATTTCTGGTATGTCAGAGTTTACTTCTCTCTATTGTGTTGCTTTCAATATTGGTTTGTGATGTCAGACAGGATGTCATGACATCTGGTTTCTGGTGATTTTTTTGGAGTCTGTGTGTGAGGTTGGGTCTCTCTATGTATGAGTGTGTTGCGTGTGAACTCTGATTTGGTTTGTTGCATGTTACTCTGGTTGTATTTCAAGTTTGCATGATGTTCATGTATCTTGTATCTTGTGATTGTTTTTGTTTATATCTTCTGTTGTATCTTCCACAAGATGTTTTAGCCCAAATTTGCTAAAGGAAGAGATTGTAACTTCCATGGTTTTAAGATTGGCAGCAATTTTGCTAAAACATGGTTCTATGATGTTGGATAGATGTTCTAACATGTTGATGAAACATTACTGGAGATAGACGTTGTGACAGATGTAGCAACATGTTATACCAGAACATTAGTTAAGTTCTGGTTTTTAAATCTTTGTAGATTGACTTAATTAATTTGAAGATTTTGTATGTTTCTGATACTCATGCAGTCATAGTCAAGCAAGGATGTTTTGGAAACTTTTCTGTTTTGATCAGGTTTTATAAGAAAGATCTTTGAACCTTTTTAGAAACTTTGTTTTTTAATTCCTATTATTGTGGAAAAGATTTTGCAATTGATTTACAGCTGGAAGATTGGATTTGCATGAAGAGTCCAAGCCCGTGAATGCAAGAGTTTATTTAAGAAGACATTCTAAACCTAAAGCACTTGGAGAAGCCGTGAATAAACATTGTGCATGAGATAAAGGTTTAGGGTTTTAGTGTGTCTTTGTTTGTGATCATCTCTATTATCTTTTGATATTAGAAGTGGATTGTTTGGTTTATCAATCACTCAGAAACTTTTAACCAAGAGTGGATTGTAGTTCAAGTTACCTTTTGTTCATCATTCAAAAGTTTTTAATAGAGCAGATTTTGTCTTTGAAGAATGTCTTCTTTCTTTTGATATTGTTAAGGGTTTGTCACAGGGTTGTGACTATTAGAAAGTGAGAAGGGTCTCATATTTAGGAGTGTCTTAGATAGAAATTACACTAGTAGAGATCACGAGAGAAGGTTGTAAACAAGAGATTGTTTAAAGCTTCAAACTAATTCTATTTTAGTAGATTCTCTCTCTGGCTTGGTAGTCCCCAGATATAGGTGAAATTGCATCGAACTGGATTAATAATTGCTGGTGTTATTTACTTTCTGCAACTCATCTTAATTACATGATTATTTTTGTTGTGTTTACTGATTTAATCCTAGTATCACAATATCTGATTCGACATCTAGAATCTATGTGTCAGAATTTCAAGTTTCATCATCTTCTTTTTCTTTCTTTTTTTAATAGTAAAGGCATCTCTATGTGATAAACTGGTGTTGTTTCTCATAATCAAGATTGTAACATGAGACATTAATATATTTAATTCTTTTATTTCAAATCAATTATAACTTATTTGTATTATGTACTTTAAAAATTACTTTCGAGCTTATATTTGTTTAAATAACTTACAATATATTAGTTATGATAATGTTTGTTTCATTAGAATTCAATTTAAATTATACATAAATACGATATAATAGCTTAAAAGTGAATTAAAACTAATACAAAATTATAAATCAGGAAAGATAAATAATTACAATAATTTTAAATGTTTTTTTTTTTGTATTTAATGCATGTATAAAATTATTTCACGCTGTAACGACGGTAATGCATAACATAGTGGTCGTAATCACAATGCGCAACACAATGACTGCATTGGCCGCAACATCCACAATCACAACTGCATCCGCATCCGTAATTTAAAACCATAATCCGTGTAATTCTTGGTGGGTTATGAAAACAACTGGAACACTTATATCTCTTTATTCACATTCTACGGTCTACAAAGTTAAACTTCTTGCTAACCATTATTTTGAGTTGCGGCTTACTATTTTATCACTTTATGGCCATAATATGAGTTTTTGCTATCCACCTTGCATGTTGTTTTTACTATGCTTTTAACCATATTAAAAAAGAAGATAACTAAATGAGTAAACTAGTAAAAGGTTAATAAATATACCACATTACCTTGCATTTTGTATATTTGATTACAAAATTATCTTTCACAAAATGTTCAAATTGTTTAACATAACAATTCAATTGTTTGTCTCCATAATGACATTGTATTATTGTAGAAGAGCAATAATAAATTGATCAATACTCAATTCAATATGCTTTCTTTTATATTAAAAGTTTATACATCAGGCAACCTTCGGTTGAATTTATATGGTCATTATTCATTTTCTAAATAAATAACTCATTTCAATTGACACTTGCATAATAAACACTTGCATATTCAAAATTTTCCAATTTTATTCAAATAGAATAAAGCAACAAAAAAAATTGAATCAAAGAATAAAGCAAAAAAAAAACAGTATTTATTTTAGCTAAATAGAGTGTTTAGAAATGAAAAGACATAAATCATTCACAATATTAAAAAAAGATATAATTTTATTAAATAAGTAGTAACATGTTAATCAATAAGATTTATTGAAATTAAACTTGGCATAAAAAGAGCTATATTTTTTAAATGTGTATTACACAATTAAATTTATCAATTCGTATTTCTAAGTGCATATAAATAAATTATATATCAATTAAAATTCCAATTAAAATTAATAGACACGTGCGGATGCAAGAGTTTTTTACTAGTTAAATATAAAATGTGTTTAATAGGGGCATTTTGCTTTAAGCAAGGCTCTGAAATCCTCATTTGACAGTCCTCAAGATTGTATTGTACAACTTAACATGAAATATTCAATCTGTATCTTGTATAAATACCAAGAAACTCATATAACTGACCTATAATCTTAATCAAAAGAGGGAATACACAAAAGTTGGACTTGATTAGAAAAACTACTGGTACAGTGCTGTTTTGCTCACTTCTGATGAACATGGAATGGATTTGGAGGTCATTGCTTATCAGGAAGCGGAGTTCTCGTGCAATAATACATATTCTCGGCTGAAATTGGAAAAAAAAAGAAACAATTCAACAATAAATATGTTGCAAGAAAAAACTATAAATATAAATATACATGTTTTTAGGTGAAGAGCATAAACATTACAGCATCCTACGAAATGTATAACTCTTTTTGGATTCCTAACGTATCTTTGTTAGACTTTACAATACTGCATAGAATTCATGAAATCATAATACTTTTCACTATAATAGTAGAACTCCTATAAACTAAAAATAGGCCCCATAAATAATCTCCTTCTTTAAAGTCCCCGCCTAAGATAATAATAATCTTTTCATGTTAAGAACTAAATTTTATTATAATAAATAATGGTTCTTATATGCGACATGGAAACTCCATTTTAAAAACCCTATTTGAGATAGTCTAAGAAAATTCTTGCATTTGAACCAACACGAGAAAAGCAAGAAAATGCATTGCATTAACAGGCACCAGACTAAGTCTAGCAAGGAATATTGTATCAGTCACATGAAAAATCATTGAGGTGCGACAACAATGTTCGAATATAAAAAATAAAAACCCCTTTTTAGGTTCATGACAAGCAATCATATGATTTTTTCATGTAATATATGTTTTAGAAACTTTTAGAAACTGTTCAGGTCTGGGCCAATGCCCAAACCACTTAGCTCCAACAGCATACAAAGCCCAGAAACGGACCACTATACTGACCGTCAGATCCATCCAAAGGTCCTAGGAGACAGTCAAGAACATCAACACCCAATAAATGATCCAAAGACTTTGGATCCACAAAATGGTCACGCCCTAGTAACTTACTAGATTGAGACCGGTCAAACATCCGGGGACCGTTCGAACAAGAAGACGGCTGGACACACCATCGAGCCTATAAGACAAGTGACAACAAAGAAGGTTCTAGTACTCAGTGATCTGGAAATGGACTTGCGCCCTAGAAGTAGACCTGATCAGAGCTGACAAGACTTTGGAGACCTTCAGATTGTACCTCTAAGAACCTTTTGACACCTATCCTCCAAGGCAGCTGTAGCAAACAAAAGATTCTATGTCCTTGTAAACCCTAGAACCTCACTATAAAAGACAGTCTATGCATCAGTCTTAGGTACAAAACATAAAAATCTCACATACGGTCATCATTGACTTTAGCCCAAGACATGTATGTGTAAACAAACAATTTTAAGTCTTCGAGGAAAATGGAAGTGGAAATCGTTAAACATTCAATATAATATCAGGCTGGCAAAAGATACAAATTTGCCTAATATGTTTTTTAAATCAAACAAGAAATTTGTTGTTTGAACATAATGAAAAACAATTAATATCTACTTGTCACTTACCTGCTATTACCAAATTTAATAGTGTCTTGCTCCCTAAGTTCATAATACCGTTGAGGTTCAATGGGATTATCCTGCAAAAGCAAGCATCAGATAATAAATTATTCAAATGAAAATAACAAAGAAACTAATCAAAGATATTCAATGACCACTCACATTAACGAAGGTTTTGTTTGTGCTTCCAAGGTCCATTATGTAAGGCCTGTTGCAGATCCCATAGATGTTAGGGTTTTACATTCAGAATACTTCGGCAGTATATGTTGAGTAACCCAGAAACAAAAAAGAATCAGGTATTACCTTGTTTGCTTTACTGATGTACCGTCAGGTTGTTCCTTTTCAATTTGCCTAATAAGAAAATAAATTTGACTTTTTTGTGAGAACTTAAAACACCAACAAACAAAGGAAGCCTCATGAGGTTGTAAAATTAGAGAAATAAATAAATACCGAAATTGAATAACAGCATGTTGCTTGCTGCAAGAGGGATGATCTGTTGGGACATCAGCAACCCTTCTTTCCCTTCCAAATAGGTAACAACTTTGGCGATGTATGTATAGGGGCTCTGCCAATCATATACATTTCTTTAGGAAAATGCTAGTACAAATAAATATAAGTATCTTTGGAAGACATTTCCATTTTGAACCATCAACGTTGAAGAAGATTTTCTATTAAATAGTTTAACTGCAGAGTTGAAGAAAAAAAGTATGACTAAAATTATCTATCAAAAATTTATAGAAAAGACAGGAAAATTTAAGCGTGAAAGCAGAAATACAACTAAATGTAGAGGAGAAAAGAGCCCCTATATATTGCTTGTCTGGTTACGAAAAGTTCACTCCAACCGCAATTGGCTAATGTATTAATTAAACATTTCAAAACTCATAATGAAAATATACCACATTGCAGGGGAAATTATATATTGATAGTGATAAAGAAGACTACATCTAAATACTACATTAGTAAGAAGTTGGGATTGAGCATTAAGAGATTAATTTTAGCAGTAACACAAAGGTTCAGCAGCACGGCACGGAGAAAAGTGGCCAGGTCTGGGGTCATTGATTATATGTAAGGTTTAAGCAGCAGCAATAAAGGCTTACCATTCAACATTTCACCAGTCTTGAAAACATAGAGCCTCCATTTAATATCAGGTTTTCGTGCCTCCGGTGGTTCGTTGAATAATAAAGTAATACCTGAAAAACATGAACTGTTCAGTAAACAATTAAATGGAACATAAACTCGTTTAACAAATCAAAATAGATAATAATACATGTTAACAAATAGTTTCTCACCTCTGACTCGATTTGTTTCAGCCGCAAGTTTTCCTGATAGCTCAAAAGAAGGTTTTACCTGTAGACGATAGAGTATTTCAGAAAAGCAAACAGGAATGGGTCACTTAAAATCTACACCCTCTATTTTTTTCTTGTGAATCAATCTACACACTTCTTTATACAAAATAATAATAACAATAATAACAGTTAGCTTTTAATTTGTTGGATCATATTACAATTTTCTATTTTTCATTGAATTGCAATGCAACTCTAGCTAATATGGTCAGACTAAGCACATGGCACATATCTTACTTTACATTCAATCAACATAACCCTCATTGGTATTTCTTCTATTTTTTTCAGTTTTAAAACTGTCTTTTGTTTTTCTTTTAGAATGGTGAAGTGAAGTCTCAATAACCAATTTAGCAGTAGCGTACTAGTATATCTAGAGACTGGATGTCACACTCTAGCGGTCTAGCCTCCTTTTAAAGGAAGAGGACACCCACTGAAAATTCTGGTAACCAATAAGAAGGAAAAAAATCTGTAGCTAATTCAACAAAACGTCCATTTCTGAGTGCTGAGATGAATAATATTTATAAAATACAGTGGTAGCCTTGGTAAATGAGCAACAAAGAGAAATAACTGAATACAGTGTCCCTTTTTGTTGAAAAACATTGTTACCTTCTGTTTTTCTTCCAAAGCCTCTTCAGCAGCCTTCATCTTCATAATGGAATCATCCTCTTCATTCCTGCCAAGACAGCAATCAAATTGTCATCAGAAACTAAACCAACTAATTTTAATCTATATGACAACTACAATACAAAGTTTTAAACTTTAAATATAGAGGTGGGAGCAGGGAATATATACAGGATCTGAAACCAAGTGGAAAGCTAATTTCATTTCATAATTAAGGTTTGATTGCTAAAATGTCTCTTAAACCAATAAGACTTTATCTCTTTTCATTTGCAAACAGAAATTGTAGCAACCTTCTACATTCAGTTTCAGTAGAAATTAATAATGTATTGTTTAGCTTTGCATTCTATTCCAAGTACAAATATCCATTGCAAGATCTGCACCAAATAAAGGAGTTGTGTAGCATGTTCAAAAAGTCAAGGCCAGTTAGAACTATAAATTATATCTTACAAGCACCAATTTATTTCTAATGTTCTCATAGCAAATTTTAACGGATATAAGTTACATCAAATGCATGAAGTGGCACTAATTATGTAGTACTATTCAACAAACATGAACAAGGGAAAGACTCATAAGGATATACAACAAATGAACAGGTACAAGAAAAGAAGCTTATAGATAAATAGTCTACCAAACATTAATATTCGTTCATTTATTCCATTCCAAATTCCAATCACAAAGCTAATAAATCCAATACAGGTTCTTAAGTCCTCAGTCATGCTTCTACACATATACATACATATCTTAAATCTATCATCTACATACATGTCAATACAGTATAGCTTCTGTTAACTTAAGCCCATTGTCACTGCAATTAGGTTTAGTGAACCATCTTTACAAGTAAACACATTATTTTGAATTTAGATTCATCTCCAATGATTTCATGAGGCCTTAAAGTAGCCACCAACCCTCCCTTTTCTAATATGCATTCACAAACATAAAAATGCTGAAAGATAAATGTTACTACAAAATACAGCATTTTAATTAAAATATTAAAACCAAAAATGTCAATTAAAAAGTATGGACAACATCAACCGGGAGCAAAACATTGAACATAAAAGCTGAAGCAACAACTTACATCATTTCAGCTCCTCTTGAATTCGTTACCTGCAAAAATTAAACAGCAACCCAGATAAGCATCAACCCCATGGAATACAAGATCGCAACATGCACAGAAGTACAAGAAACAACGCAGAAGCAAAGAGGCCAAGATTGAGATAAATAAGGGGAAATGAATATTTAACGCAAAAAGTTTGAAAGAATAAATAAACAAAGTTTTGGAACCACACAGCCCACAAGAGAGGAGCGGGAGAAAACAAACTCCTCTCGAAGAAAAGTCAATAACAATGAACACCAACTTAAAGCAACAGCAATCATTTCAATAGGTAACAATCATGGAATGCTGAAATGATATTTTCTAAGGACGTGTCTAAGGACAAATCATTCAAATGTGTTATAAATTCTTCATATTATCTGGCCAAAGCATTAATAAGCCTGTCTCTAACTCAAACTATAGGGCTACCTTCCATTTAATCTACTCTAGTCTCATGGGGCCTCTACAAGTCTTCTTTACACATGACATGCCCAAACATACCTAAAGACAAGACTCTACATTTTCATTTCTTAGCATGTCCAACTATAGTGCTTCTCTAAATCTCAGTCAAATTCCTGGTTCGGGCAGCTCTGCAACCATTTCTATGACCTCACCATATGTAAATGTCACTTTTCAAAAGCAAAGTGACTTCAAATAGGTTTTCCATCATGAACAAGTTATATCAAGATCATAACTTACAATTTAATCAGTTAATCACATAACTAGGGTAAAAAATATCAATTCAATATTCAAATAGGAAACAATCACCTATTTTTTACTCCACTTCTGTGGCAACATAAAAAGTTTAAGCCGCATAAGGAGGAGTTCATGGAATACTCTCTATACACAAATGGATATACTAATTCATGTTTCACCCCATTCTAAAAGTTTATCAATCACAAAATTTGTTTGCCAAATAACATAGGATCTAATCATACATTTGATGACAAATATTTTCAAAACACTACATTCCATAGGTTCAACGTCTAATAACACAAAATTCAATCAACTGGTCAAATAACACTCTAGTAAGAGTCACTACCAACACTAAGAAAATGTATGTAAAACATAAAAACAGAAGCATAGTTTGAATTAGGGTTGGGTATCACCAGACACCTCATCACGAGGCTGAGTCTGGGCCGGCGGTGACCGAGACTTGTGCCTGCTCCTCCCATTGCGGTGGTTCTCCGGCGACCTCTCATGCTTCGACCTAGACGACCTGCCGTTCCTTATTCCGTCATCCTCATTCTCAGCTCTCCTCCTCTCCTTACGCTCAAATGTTTCCCTCTCTGAATCCCTCCCTCTGCTACTACCATGGCTCCTATCGTGCTCGAGTTTAGGTTCGCGTTCGCGTTGGGATTGATTTTTCTTCAACCGTTTGGTTCGCGGAGAAGGAGAACGAGAGTGATAAGAAGAAGGTGGAGGATCCGGTGAACGGGAAGCTGGCCGAGGTGCACGACTCGAAGGCTGCTGTCGTTTCTCTCGAGGCGGCGGAGGAGAGATACTGCGGTTGCTCCGGTGACGGTGAGAGGACGGAGAATGGCGACCCATTGGTTGTGGAGCGGTACAAAATCGAGAGTTTGTTCTAGCTTAAGTGACACTACCAATCACTCATGCCCTTAATTCCCAAAACAAACTGGGCTTTGGACATAAACAAATCGGCCGGACTCACTTCTTGGTTTAAAGGTTTTGGGAAATACCATGGTAGTGAAAACCGGACCGGATGGTTCGACCGGTTGAACCGGAAACCGGACTTGTACCGGTTCAAAATGTATAAGTAACCGTCGTAGTTGATTAATAGGTGTGGTAAAAATACAGTAACAGTAACAGATTGGAATAAGAAACGAGATGCGGCGCCTTTAGAGGTGAAAAGGCAGTAACAGTAACATATTGGAATAAGATGTTATTATATTGTTATTATTAGAAGTGAAATTAGGGTTTTTGTGCTAAATAGGAATATGACCCGCTAAGTGATATTTTCATTTAGTGCTTTTTTTATAATTGTTTTCTTTTTCATGTAGTTTATCCTGACTGAATTTCTATATGCTAATTTTTTTAATAGAATTTCTTTTAGTTGTTTCGTTGGTTATTTTTAAGCTTTAAAATATTTTAAAATAGTCATATATTAAAATATTAAAATTTAAAAGAATTAATAGTCTATATGTGCGATGCACGGATAAATTTTAATTACTAATATTAATTTAATTATAATAATAATTTTGAAGAGTAAAATAAAATACTTTTTAATATATTTAACTTATGTAAATATTTTTTATATTTAATGTGCTTTTATTTTATTTTATTATATTCTCAATTCTTTAATTTTATTAAATGTATATATTGTTATTTTTTATAAGATGAAAATGTATTCAAGTTTTTTTTTAATCAAATGAAAAAGTATTAAATTCTTCCTAATTTTATCATATAAAAGCACATTAAATATAAAAAATATTTACATAATTTAAATATATTAAAAAATGTTTTATTTTACTTTTTAAATTTATTACTATAATTAAACTAATATTAATAATTAAAATTTATTCGCAGATAAACATCTAATTTCTATTTAATCTCATAGCTTACATATTTATTTTCAAGAAATATTAGTATTTATTGAATACTAATATTAAAACAAAGTTAAATATAAATATTTTCATTTTCATCCTTATACATTAGAAAATATATATATATATATATATATATATATATATATATATATATATATATATATATATATATATATATATATATATATATATATATATATATATATATATATATATATATATATATATATATATATATATATATATATATATATATATATATATATATATATATATATATATATATATATATATATATATATATATATATATATATATATATATATATATATATATATATATAATCAAATTTTGTAGTGATAATTTATAATTTTAGAATTTTAGAATAGAGATTAATTGATATGTATTGTTAGTGTAATTTTTTTTACACAATTAATATATCATAATTATTCTTATATAATATTTTAAATATGATAAAAGTAAAAATTAATTATTTATAAAAATTTGATAATGATGATTAGTTGACAGTATAAAATTGTTTTATATTATATATAATTAAATTCTTATAAATAACTTTTTTGGTATGTGGCCTTTGAAAACTATAAGAACAATTAACTATAAGAACAATATTATATATAATTATTCTTAAAGTCCAAGAAGTTATTTGATATGTGGCCTTTGAATGTATAGTTAAAAACAATTTTATTCGTTATATTAACGGTGGCGTTTGATGAGTAAGATAGTGTTGTACTTCAAAATTTGCCCTCTCATTTATCTAGATTTTTCTCACAAGACTTCTTGAACTCAAGACAGGATTAGGGTTTGGTCAGCTCAAGACACCTCATCTTGCACTGATAATCCAAAATTAGGGTTTGAGTTTGCACAAGTATTTTTGGACCATCAATGCTTCATGTGACTTTCATACACCATCTTGGACCCCTAAGATTGCTCATGTTAAATTTCAAGTCTTGAACCATATTTTTTATCAATCAATTGGACAATTGACCTAAAAATTAGTTGTATTGGGAAAAAAAGTCAACCATGGCCAATTTACAATCAAACTTCATAATTTTTTATCCACAACAACATTTTAGACTCATATGTACCATTTGATCAAGTTTGGATCACAACTCCTTAAGAAATTTGATCAAATCATCAAAAGGGCAAAATGGTCAAAATTAGGGTTTTGACTGAGATAGGGGAATTTCTGATTTTTAACCTAGCCAATGACCAATTGAGTTCAAACATGATTTCAAGGGTTCAATGGCATCATCTTGACCTACATGGTTCAAAAGATCTCAAGTTCATTGGATTGACAGATGAATTTTACAGTCAACTGATCAAAAGTCAATTGTACACTGAAAAGTCAAACTTTGACTTTTTGGTCAAAATAAAATGCCAAGGGTTATAATTCATCAAGATATGTCAAAATATGAAACTTGTTCACCAAGAAAACTAATTTTGAAAATTAGGGTTTTGAATTTGAAAATTTTCATAACTTGGAATTTTTCTAAGTATGGAAATTTTCTTATTTTTTCCCAACTTTCCACCACTTTTTCACCATGATGGAATTTGATTCAAAGAAAACTTCCAATATGAAAGTTATAGTCCTCCATGAAATCTACAAATTTTCTTCACAAACTTTTCCCAAAAGATGCTTGGATCTCAAGTTATGAATTTGTAAACATAGGTCCATGAACTAAATAACTTAGTGAAATTTTGCCCTAATTTAGGCAGGTTTTGGACCCAACTTCATGGACATTTTTCACCTAGTTCCAAGAGGTATCTCAAAATTCATTTCAAATATGGATTATAGAGCACATAACAAGCTTTCCAAAATGTCAAAGAACTCTCCAAGATCATTTTTGATTAGGTAGAATCGAAGAAGGGAAGTTGGCATTTTATCACTTTTGTTCAAGCCATTTTTACATGAGATCAAGTTGCAAATCAGATCTATGCTGCTTGTACCTTGCTTTACAGGTCCTAAACTCATTCTACACTCCATAATTAAATGCAAACTCAGAAGTTAAAGGCTTTATCTTTGCTTTTGGAACTTTACACAAGTTGTAATTCCATTTTAGGCATAAAGCTCACATTGTCATTTTCATCAAGGTGAGCTTTTGCAATTTTGTCAACCTTGAGCCTTGGACCTGTCCCTTTGATGCAAACAATTTCCACAGGTCTCAAGCAATGTATAACAACTCTTATCAGCCCTTGAGGTAGCCAGTACAAGCATGTTGCATTTGTCATTTCACTTTACTTAAAATACAAGAAAAGTTGCAAAAGGTGCTAGAACTTGTACAGCTAGTAAGGATTGACCTTTGTGTCATTTTTATACAAATATACCAAGTTATTACAATGCTTAACACGACTGCTTGACATCCAGAACTCACTAAAACTCAAAAACTCCATTTTTCTGTCCAAACATCCAGTTGCTGCAAAATCATAACCATTTCATTTTTGACTCGTGCATTTTGTGGCTTGACACTTGAAACACTTCATAAACATCCTACCAAAGCTATCCAAGCCCTTACCCTGCATTTGTAAGTCTTGTTTCAACCATTTCCATTTTCAAACTTGGAGCTTGCAGCTTGAATTGTGCAGAGAGTTCTGGCCATCCACAAAGCAAGCTAGGCATTGGAATAGCTTGAAGGAAGTTCAAGGAAGCTCACACGATCCTCAGGTCTCCATCAAAGTTCCTACATTGCTCTATCCAAATCCAACTGAAGGAGGTATTTTTCAAAACTCTATCTCTCTATTTAGGTATCCTCAAGCCACGATTTATGAAGAAAAGATATAGTCCATAACATGGTGAAGCTGTACATATGCATACTTTTCATTTATATTAATTGTGCTGTGAGAATTTGAAGCTTGAAGTTGCTAAAAAAATTAGGTCACGAATTAGGGCTATTGAAATTCTCTTTGATCTTTTAGAGTTAGGTCACATAATTTATATCATTAAAATCGTGAGATTAAATTCCACAAGTTTTATGTTATAAGTTTTTGTTTTTGTGCAAGCATTAGCAAGTTACAGTTTGAACAATAACACGCGCGCAAAGGAGAAGAAGTTGGAGGACATGGATGAAGTTCTGGGCCTTTGGCGCCTTGGGCTTTCTGTTTTTGATTTTCACACACCGTTGACCACTATTTGCACCCCCTGGCATATTATTTTATATTTTTTGCATTTTTCTTTATATTTTCATATTTATTGCTTTTAATTATTTTTCTGAACATTAAAAAATCATAAAAAATAATTTCTTTATTTTTGCAATTTTTTTTTTTATTTTTTTTATTTTTTTTGCATAAAAAATAGTTTGTTAGGATAATAGCTTTTATTTTCTTAAATAAATTTGTAAATACATTTTTAAAATACTATACATTTTTATTATATTATCCATACACATAAAATATTTATTTTCATACATATTTTAATTTTTAGTATTTGCACATAATATTATTTATTATTTTCTTGTACAAAAATGGACAAAATAATAATATAGAACATATATTTTCTTTTAATTAAAAACTAGGGTTTTTCACCCTTCCAAAAATAATAATATTTTTCTCTTATTTCTAGGGTTTAAATAAATTATTTTCTCATACTTTAAACAAATACAAAACATTTTTTTTACATAAATACATTGCATTGCATTTTAAATACTTGTTTATTTATTTAATGCGCACAATATTTGATTGGGTTGTAATAGTATTTTTAAGTTTATATTTGTGCAATATCCCCATTCAAAACTTGTATCTCCCCCTCCCATAATAATTGTTGTAATAGCTTAGTTTACATTTACGCAATTTATCGCTTTTATACCATGTTTAGTAAACTAGGGTTTGCATGACAAGACCAAAAACAAAACAAATAGAAAAAACCTAATGCAAGACAAAAGCATGAAAAATGACACACTTTGCACACAAACACCCTTAGGGTTTCACCCACTTGGTTGCCTAAATTTAAATGACCATGTTACGCATGCG